TGGCCATGAGCAGGAGTCCCAGGGACAAAGCTAATGTAACTAAAATAAGAAACAGTAAAGCCCTTTGGTGCTTCACTTGGCAAAATCTCAAGCCAGATTCTTGCTTTTGGGAGCCTCATCCTTGGGTGGCACCACACAGACTCAGGTGTCAGGCATGAGTTATTTAGAAACTGTGGCTAAGCTCAGAAAAGAGTGTGAGGTTTTGTCTCTACAAGAAAAGAGGAACTCGAGCTAAAATAAGCAGCGATCAATAACTGCTGAAGCTTCCTCGGAGATCTCTGACTTGGCGTGATTGGGTGTGAGCGCTCATGGGCTTCTCAGAAGACATCTGAGCTCATTTTGTTCGGGGGCTGCAATATGATAGGATGGTGTATCCTTAAAGTAGGACACCTCCCCAGGCCACCTAGGCCCACAGCTCCCTGTACCTTGGTCACCAGGTGTCCGCTACGGAGGAGGTCACAGTCCCAGTGCCTGAGTCAGGAGCAGCTATGCCCAGCAGGGCCACACCGCTCATGCAAACATGGCCTACCCATCGCCCTGACTGGGTGCAGCCCTTAGACGGCCACACTGTGCCCTCATGACTCTGCCACCGTCTCCAAAGTGTGCTCCAAGATAGCCTGTTCACACAGAGACTGGGACTGGTGGCCCCTGAGTGGCACACGCAGAGAAAGCCCTCAGGGGCTAAGCCTGTCAGATTCCCTGTTGAGCCTGGGAACTGAGAAGAGACCTGCTGGGAGGGAAAGAGCAGACTCAGAGGGGAGTGAAGTCATGGTAGACCCTGGGTGCAGGGCCTCGAGCATCTGCACAGAGTCAGCCCAGATGGGTCTATTCCTTGCACCCCCAAGCCCAAGGAGGCCCTGGGTTTTGAAACTGCTGCAGGACAAGCAGCAATTTCCAGGGTCGCAGGACGGACGCGGTGCGGCAGGAGTGTGACAATGAGAGAGGGCAGACTCGAGGTTCAGTCTGTCTGTGTGTAGGTCGCGGGTGCAAACCCTGATGAGAAGCCACAAAGGCACGTCTTTCCCAGTCATACTTAAAGTTTTCTTCACTTTGAAGGAATAGAAGAAACCACAAGTGGAAAAAAGATCAAAAGCGTCGACCAACTTTTAACTTAAGAGAGGTTAGACTCCTCTCAGCCACCTGCCTTGCAGGGACACCAGCCCAGCCAGGAGCACTCACACAGGCCTAGACCTGGAAACAACATGGGGTATGCAGAGGCCGCCAACTGCCCACCCCCAGCTGGCCTCCCTCGGCCCTGACAGGTGAGGAGCCCAAAGAGGCAAACACGCTGTTGGCAAACGTCTGCCTGGTGCCTAAAGGAGGGTCTTCACCAGGCGAGCCAACACCTGCCCTCGGTGACTTCCACCCAGAACCAGGCCAGACACACAGGCATCCCAGACTAGCTAAAAGCTTTCCACTGGCTGCGCTTTGGGTGCTAGCATGGAAGAAGCCAGAAGCAACCCTCAACCTGACCTCTACAGCGTGGAACGATCCTGCCGTAGCCCAAACCTGCGTCTCCCATGGGAGACCACGGGCAGGCAGCTCCATGGCCTCCTCAGTTGGCTCAAGCATGTCCCGTAGGGGCTCCCTTTGGATGGATGGCTTGCTGAAGTGATCCCTTGGAGCTCCTGAAAGGGTCTTCTTCAGGGGCATTCTGCTGTCCTCCTGACCCATTTCTGGTGAGTTTTTCCCCAGGGACCCACCTGTTGCCTTGGCCCTTGAGTCCAGCTGCCTCCTGGCTCGGCGCTCATCCCCTTCAGGTTTGGAGGAGATGCCTGTGCCCTCCCCTCCCCATACCCACCTTCTCTCCATAGACCCATCATCGTTTCTCTGTGACATGCTGCCCAAACCCTGTCATCCAGCTGTTCTGCTCAGACAGGGCACTCCACCTGTCACTGTGCCTCCTGCCATGGTCCCTGAGGACTGAGCATGACATGAGCACACAAACTCCATCCCCAGTGAAGGACATCGAAATGCCACCTGCTTTGATCCTCCTACCCTTTGTTCTTTTCTTTTTTTAGACAGAGTTTTACTTTGTTGCCCTTGGTAGAGAGCTATGGTGTCATAGCTCACAGCAACCTCAAACTCCTGGGCTCAAGTGATCCCCTTGCCTCAGCCTCCCAAGTAGCTGGGACTACAGGCACCTGCCACTGCACCCAGCTACTTTTTTTTTTAGAGACAGGGTTTCTCTGTTGCTCAGGCTGGTCTCAAACTCCTGAGCTCAAGTGATCCACCTGTCTTGGCCTCTCAGAAATACCCCTTGTTCTCTTAATGTAGCCAAATAAAATAGCTTCCCTGCCTTCCGTGTCACTGTCTTCTTGTCATCGTCATATGCTGTGGTCAAACAAAGCTTTTGTTACACCAGTGATTTTGAACCAGTGTGCTGCAAGAGGATCTTAGGTGTGCTGCAAAAAAATTTTATTTTTTTCAGACAGAGTCTCACTCTGTTGCCCTCAGTAAAGTGTTGTGGTGTCATAGCTCACAGTAACTTTAAACTCTTGGGCTTAAGTGATCCTCCTGCTTCAGCTTCCCAAGTAGCTGGGACTATAGGCACCCACTATAATGCCCAGCTATTTTTAGAAATGGGGTCTCACTCTTGCTCAGGCTGGTCTTGAACTCCTGAACTCAAGCAATCCACCTGCCTCCGCCTCCCAGAGTGCTGGGATTATAGACGTGAGCCACTGTGCTCCACCTTTGCAGCAAAAATTTTTAAAGATCATTAATTAAATTATTTTGAAAGACGATCAAAGCACAGTTAAGTATATTCTTTTTTTCACTCTTTTTTGGATCAACATAATTTAAGTGTACCATGGAAGTTTAACTATAGATTCAAGTGTGCTGGGAGATAAAAACGGATGAAGAACACTGTGCTGTACAAACTATGATTAGCGTGGTCTTCCAGGCTGGGGTTGGCGCAGTTCGTTTTTTTTTAACTGCATTTAAATTTACCTGTAAGTTTTGTGCATTTAGATTTATGTGGTGAAATCAGAGGCCAGGAGCATCGGCCTTGGACAAAACAGACCTCAGCAAACTGAAAAGCACTGTTCCATCCTAATCTTGTGATCTGGCAGAAAACAGGGTCTGTTCTCCTTCAAGTTCACCTCCCTTCTCTCCTTCCGGGGCCACTTCCTCTCACTGGTTCAAGGGCACTGAAGACAATAATCCACCAAGCCACAGCCAGCTACACCTGCTTGTCCTTCACCTCCCGGCAGTCTTCCTCACCCTGGCTTCCTCCTCACATCCACAGGCACAAATAACCTCTGGTGTGTCCACTTCATCATGTCACAGAGTATGGTCACTTTGGAAGGTCACAGTTCACCCCTCAGACCACCCTGCTGGACTTTGGAGAGAGAGCCAGGCTCAGCCAGGCCTTACGTCTGGGCCACTGGGACATGTGCTTTCATCTGCCTCTTTCCCACTCTTTCTCTGCCAGTGGAGACTGAAGTCAGGTTCAGATGTCGAGGTTTATACAACACTTACCTGAACAGTGAATTTATCATCTTCGTTGGGCAGAATTCTGTAGGTGTAAACGCAGTTTCGATATCTGAAATAGATCAAAGACTTCATTAGAACCCACGCAGGAAAATCCCGTTTCCTCGTTAACAAGACCTCCTGACATGGCCCAGGGAATCTCAGCACAGTCTTTAAAGCCCGGAGCAGATGGTTCTCTGGGATGGAGATGAGCCCTGACACCCAGCAGCTCTGGACTGAGGTGCAGCATTTCACCCACCCCTCAGCACTCAAATGCAGGAAAATGCAGGTGGGGTTGCTTGGGTGGGGACACTTCAGCCACAGGGCCTGAGCTAAGGAAGTCCACTGTCTGGAAGGGCTTCCTCCACCCTGGGGCTGCCATGTTGGCCAAGAGAATGAGCAAAGAAGAGGGGGTGTTCACAGAAGAACCCAGATCCAGTGGGGCTGAGCAAGGTGGCAGCTGCTGAAAGGGCCTCAGCCATAGCCATTGGGGCCACTCTGGCCAAGGCAAGGCTTGCTAAGTGCCTGCCTCCCTCCGAGCTCCCTGCTAACCCCTATGTGGCTTTCTCTCCTTGGACACTTTGACCCATGGGGTTATTCTGCCAGGAAGGTGAGTGAGCCTGGGGCTGTGCTAGGAATCCCAGATTCCCTTGTCTTTCTGGAAGCTCCACCTTCTTTTGGTTCAAAATCCCAAATGAGAAAGAGGAGGTACTTTTGACTTCCCTAAAACCTCTTAGAGGAAGAGGGAGTTATCAAGTGTGAGGCCCTTGGAACAAGGGATCACCTGTGGTAGTCCCAGCCTGCCAAGAGCTGTCAGGAGTCCAGAGAAGGTTATTTGGATCTTACGCTCTTAAAGTTGCTGGACGATTCTCCAGCCCAACCGCATCTTGTTGCATTTCTTCCACTGGGGGCTCTCATGAGCCTTGAAAGCCTGAGCCCCCCAGACAGGAGCCCTGCTCTGCCCCCAGCCAGCACTTCATCGTAGCTCTACTGAGCCCTCCCAGGTACCAGGCTCTTCACGGAGCCCTTACACATGCTATTGTTTAACTAGATTTTTAAAGTATACACTAATCAAAAAAATTAAAACCACACAGAAAGAAATACAATGAAAAATGGAGCTCTCTTTCCCCCTCTCGTGAGCCCCACTTCTTGGATTTCCTACTCTTGTTTGTAAATCATTTCAGATCTCTTAAACATACCCAAAAGCCTATATATGCATATCTTTTAAAATACAAATAATATCACACTTGTTCTGAAATCTTTTTTTCACCAAAAATATCACACTTGTTCTTAAATCTTTTTTTTCACCAAAAAAAAAAAAAAAAAAAAAAAGAAGAAGAAGAAAAAGAAAAAAGAAAAAAAGAAAATCTTAGAGGTCTTCCTAAGTCTAGTGGGAGATGATTTATCAGCATTGTCATCGTGTGTGCTACAAGCATTGACACCTTTAGTGACCAGAGCTGTCCTCAGCCCTCCAGTGCTCTAGAAGGAGGTTGGGAGGTGCAAAGACCTGGCCATTTCTGTCTTGATAGAGATGACAAACTCCCTTTCAATGAGCTTGTGGCCTTTTTTTTTCCCTGCTCACAGGATATGAAAGCATCTATTTCCCCACACCCTGCCAACTGGCTGTTATCAGACTTTTAATCTTTGCAAATCTAAGAGGTGAAAATGATAGCTTGCTTTAATTTGCCTTTCTTTATGAGAAAGGTTCTTCAACATGTTCTCATGTTTAGTTATTTGTATTTCTTTTTCTGTGAATTTGAATTTCTTTTTATGTCTTTGGCTTAATTATTTTGGTATCTTTTTTTGATTATTTATGTATAAGACTCTGATATAGGATACAATATATTTTGGAATTATTGTCAACTATTTTCTTTCCTTTTACAGGGTAGAAGTTTTGCAATTTTTTTTTCTTTTTAGAGACAGACTCTTACTCCATCCCCCTTGGTACAGTGATGTGGCATCACAGCTCACAGCAACCTCCAGCTCTTGGGTTTAGACAATTCTCTTGCCCCAGCCTCCAGATTAGCTGGGACTACAGGTGCCTGCCACAATGCCTGGCTATTTTTGGTTGTAGTTTTGCTGGGACTGGGTTCGAACCTGCCACCCTCAGTATATGGGGCCTGTGCTCTACTCACTGAGCCACAGGCGCTGCCTAAAGTTTTGCACTTTTATGACGCCAATTTTACTATATTTTATTTTATGGCTTTTGAATCAATGGGTGCATAAAAAAAATTTTGGGTGATGTTTTGGGTAATTTCATTACCACACGTCTCTTTATTTCCCATAGGAACGGTCTCCTTGTCTACCACTTTAGTCCCCATCTTTCCCCTCCCTGGCCTGTCTCCAGAGCCTGTTTGTTACCACACTAGACGGGCATTGGAGGTAGCAAGTCCAGTGCCATTTCACCTCCCGGAGACATCCCCAGCCCATCTCAACCCCCTTCCCCATTGCCAGCTGCTCCCCTGGCCCAGGCCGAGCTTGCTAGAGCTCTGAAAGGTAAGAGCACTGGAGGGCCGAGGACAGCTCTGGTCTTATCTCTCAGCACTCTGTTCTTGTGACATTTCCTCCTGTAGGCATGCAAATGAGGCAAGGGTGAAAACAGCCCCTCATTTGGCTGAGGGCAGCTAATTTATGGAAGAGTTTAGCTTGTAGACAGAAAGAACAGAGTCACATAGAGAGACAGAGCCAGTCACACAGAACAGAAAAGCCCCTTTGGTTTAATCAGGTGGGGCAACAAGGCTTTATGGCTTTTTCAAAGATGTTCTAGAAACGTTGAAACAAAGAAACAGTCCCATATTACTAAAACAGATCAAAATTCAAAATCTGGTAAAATAGGAAGAGATGATGCTTCCCCCTTAGACAGAAACAGCTCAGCAGATGTTAGCGACCCTGCATTGCCAGTGCACAGGGCTGGACACGCCGTTCCAGGGCTGAATCGGTTTTGATCTTCAAGGAAAACAGGCGGCCCCACCACCACCACCACACTTGCTTCCCACAACCCATCGGGCAAGCCTTAGTTCCAACCTGAGTCCCGTGTGGGCTGGGTGGGCTCTGCAGGGAGGTGGAGGAGGGCACTCACTAGACCTCCCCACCCTCCAGCAGCTGTCCTCACTCTAGTCCTACCTGTAGACACACTTATGCACAGGCATGCATACATGTGCATGCACAACACACATGCATGGGTGTACACATAACATCCACATGCATACATGCGTATACACACAACACATGCATATGTAAACACACAGGCAGGCTCTTACATGCAAAATGCTTAAAGCAAAGAGTCCGCAACTAAATAGTGTCTGACAACTACGGTGCTAGACATAATCTAGACAACGCACTCACTGATCTTTAGGGTCAATGCCCCCCACTCCCAGCCCTTTCCCAGCTCTTTGGGTTGGTTTGGTGACACATTGCAGTGCTCTCAGCCGAGACTCCTTTTGGTGACTGGTTGCATTTCAGAGTAAGGCACCAGGAATATGCCCATCAGAGGTGCAGGCCGGGACAGCACCAGGCCCTACAGTATCTCCTGCCATGAAATGAGAATGTCCCATTCTCAAGCGAAGGGAGCTTACATTTCCCTTGGGACTCCGAGGGGTGCTAGGTGATAATAGGTGCCCACCCCAGGGAACCAGACAAAAACAGCAGGAAGGTGCCTGCCAGCAGAAGGGCATTCCCAGGTCAGGTCAACCTGGTGTAGCACAAGAAGTTTTACTTCAGTAGGAGAGCAAATGCAAGGAGGAGGAAACCTCACCACAGTGCTTTATTCATCCTTTCAGATAAATATTACTATTTCTGCATGACCATTCCTAGCCAGATCAACACTGCCAGCCACGGCCAGAAGCGTCCTTTACAGAAAGAGACATCAGGCTCTGTGAGGCAAGACCCTCATTAGCATTTCTGTTTTACTCTGCTTTCCGGCTCCCGCAATTGTTATCAAATCCCTTTGGGACTCTCATTATATATCATTTCCAATTTCTGATGTTATTTGTATGTGTTTTCTCCTTTTCTTGGTTAAGTCAAGTAGGAACAGACTTCTGGACAAGATGGGGTGGAAGAAGAGAGCTGGAAACTCTGCGTTCAAAAAAGCCATTTGGGCTCGGCGCCTGTGGCTCAAGTGGCTAAGG